AAACATGACGAAAATTATCATTAAATCATATCGTAATAAAAAGATGATGCATTCTCCGCGCAACGCGGAGAAAGAAATCTTATTAATTAATTATTTTAATTAGAGAAGAAGATTCGATAATATTTCTCATCCCCCGTTCTTCTTGTATAATTTCTATTTAAAAAAACAAATTAAATTCCATTTCTACGTTTATTAGCATTAAGAGAGCAATCCAACCGAAATTGATTCGTCCGGATTAACTTTTAATTCCTCGATTACTGGAGGATCCCAGGGTTAAAGGATAGCCCGATTAACCAGGCTAATGAAACTACAAGGGAAAAACGTTTACAACTGGAATAAACATCGATCGAGTTTGACGCCGACAAATTCCATCGCACGTGTCGCGCAATTAATTTAACGAAATGAAAACACCGTGAGATTGCATCGTTCTCCATCTCTATATTCTCCGCGCTATTAATTAACCAACCTACGAACAATTTGATCGGATAATCAAGCGGACCGATCGATCAGTCGTTGATGACCACCACCACCACCACCACCACCACCACCATCACCATATCTCCTCGCGTTGGATCCGAGTCAGAAGTTAGAGCTCATCACCATCATACCGATGTAATACCGGTAATTACAGATCCTTAATTGGATCCGAGTTGACGGAGGAGAAATACTACGTTATTATCGCCATCGTTCGCTCCACCCCGCGATGCCTATGCACGCCGTTTGTTATCCGGTTACAAGCAACAAGCCGCACATTCGGGACCCTAGGAGTAATCATACTAACATGAGATGCAGAGAGGGGCAAAGAGGGAGAGAGAGTCTGCCCGCTAACTAAACTCTAAACTCTAAAGTCTGCCGCAAGTTGTCTCGACGTGGTGTCAGGCCAAGGTGCAGAAGGTATTTCCTCGGTAAGTACGTATCTAAGGACCCCGGTATACCTGTCAATTGCGAGCCGTGTAGCTTAAAGCCCGAAATACCTTTGGATCCCGGGAGGTTAACCGCGATGCTAAGATAGCATTCAACGGAAACTCGGGACCTCTTATTTTAATTACCCCGTCCTTCCGCGTTACAATCCAACCCTCGCGTCAACCGACGAAAACAGAGTTAGAGTAGCGGGTTTGTAATATGTTCTCTTCCTTCCTTCCTTCCTTGGATTAATGCAGTTTCCCCATTTATCCCTCGCCGTGGGATACGTGTACGCATCGCTGTTTCCCGTATGCGTAGGGAGAAAATCAAAATTGGCCCAAAATCCCCCTTGTATACTATTGATAATAGTAGTCCATCTCGAGGGGCAGGGATGATAAATATTAAGTTCGTTCGAAGGATTCGGTTCATCGATCTTTCATTTAGGAGCCGACGTCTTGGAATAATCTCGATGGATTTCCAGCGGAAAATTTTCCAGGAAGAAGGAGAAGTTGTTTGAAATTTTAACGATTTATCGTATTTTTATTTCTGACTAATTCGTATAACAACGTTGGATCGGAAGATAATATCGGAAATGAATAATGGTAGAGAGATTTATCGACATCTCTATATCTAGGAAAGCATTCGTTTTTTATTGCTCTTTGTCGGTTGAGTAAGAGGACGGACGATGTCAATTTCGATGCGGATGAAACCGCAAGAGTGGTGACTATCGGTTAATCTTAGCCGCAAGAACTTTGCGCGAAGATTAATTTGTCTGATAAGTCGTTAGATTAAGAAATCCCCGATTATCAATGAATCGATAATCGAAAGTTTATAGTTAGAATGAAACTTCTTATTCTAAGATATCCTTCTTTTGTCCCGCTATTACGAAATTGAATCGACGAAAATACAAAATAAGTACTGGTTACGTGACGATCATCTTTAAGAAAGATGATTATCGTCTTCCAAGTTGTTTTCGATCGATCGAAAGTTCAAACTTTCTGTATTCACACAATGATCAAAATTTTCGAGATTATTTAATTTCCGAATTCTTATAATTTTTCGATTCTAAATTCGGAGGAACGTTAACATTTTGCAGGTAATAACGAATCGATGACGAATCAGGAATGATCCGAATTAAAGGAAAAAATTCATTTTTTATTCATATTACGTTCGACGGAAGAAGAAAGGACCAGAAAGGAAGCTATTTGTAATAACTCGAGACAAATACGGAATTGGTCGCGAACGAAGGGACGTGATATGGTCGTTTCATCGTTTATGCATTCCGTACCGATGCATAAATTTTTCCAGCTTCGCGAAAGGATCGACTTTTTTCCATGTTTTTTCTCTCCCCTCTGCTCTTTTTTCCTTTATTCGTACATTTATTTATTCTTTTTTTTTTTTTTTTAACTTCTGTTTTACACCGTTAAAAGCTACTCAATATTTGACACGGGTGAAAATGACTTACATATGATCCAGCGTTTTTTTTTTTCTTTTTTTTCCCTCCCCTCCTCCTGAAACGTTCCAGTATGAAACGTGAATCGACCATCAGGATCGCGACCCAGGAATGGAATTCCAGATTAAAAAACCGTTTGCATACGCGATTAATTGTTTCCCCCTCGTTTCGACGTGGATTACCAGGTATATACGCTCGTCGACTCTTTTTTAACGTGTGCGCCGCGAAACCGAGCACGCAACCGGTGTAATTACGCCTCTCGAAACGTTCTCTTTCTCATCGTCGATTTCTCCATTCTATCGTTCCATATCGTCGAAAGCCTCGTTTCCTTACCCTCTTGGTCGGAGGCCAGGGACGGCCTCCATTTGTCCGCAATTCCTTGAGGATACACGGCTCGATGATTCGCCGGCAAGAGGAAATCTCAGTTTGATTCACCCGCGCCGTGATTAAGATTACACTCGGCCCCGTGAAATTATGAATAACATCGTTTAATTTTCCGATGGATCGCCCGCTTTCCGCTCTCCACTTTTGGTCGGTTAACTTTCTTCTAACTTCCGCGCAAGGGATCAAACGAAGAGAAAGAGAGAGAGAATATTTAACATCGCGTAATATTTAACATGGCATATACTTTTCAACGAATTTGAACGAATTTTTCACGAGTATCGATCCTTGGTTAATAATCGCGAGTCCAATGAAGAAGATAATACGAGTGACTAACTATCGTTCGAATAATTTAAAAAAAGAGAGAAGGATTAGATTAAATTTCGAAACTTGTTTATTTACAATGATATTTTTGATATTTCAATCTGAAATATATTATTTCAGAATTATTAAGCAGCCAGGGAACATATATATATCTCGATCGCAATAGGAAAAATTGGAATATGGAAAAACAAAAGAGCATTCCTACCAACATTTTGTTCATGGTAGATAGGCGAGCATGGATGGAGTAATTTATGCAAAGAGAGAGAGAGTTCGCTATCGATGCGCATTCCCGGGCAAAGTAGTTGAAATTACGTTTCGATTACCGATCTTGAAAAGAGAGGGGCGCTATCGTGCGCAGGAAGGGGAGGAGGGGTACGGTTTACACAATAGACAGTGCAGTATCTTTGTTAGCCGGTTCTGATTGGACCGTTAGAGTCTCTGCTTATGTTAGTTATGCCGGTGCATTCAACCAACAGTCAGAACTGCTTTGTTGGCATTGGCATATCAGGGTGTAACGAGCCTCTGTATCGACGTTCTATTCTCCGGCTCACTCTGACCGTGAATCTCCCGCTTTCAGCAACTACTATTAGCGTGCACCTTTGTGTCTGTCCCGGGCCGGGCTTTACACATCGGCAAAGTTTTCCTGATTCCCGTCCCAAGTTTATGGATAACGGAGTTAACCTCAGCATCGAGAACACGCGGAATAGCGCGAATCACGCGGAAGAAGGCTGTCCTCCTCCGAGAACTCGCGCACGCTGGACAATTTCCAAAGGAAAATTTACTTTTCAAATCAAGAAAAATTACACGAAGATGATATATCGCTTCGAGGATGGAATTTTTGTTTCTTGGATTTTCTTTAAGAGTGAAATTCTTAGAGACAGAATTCTTATCGTCCCACCCGAACGAAAATATCTTGTCCATCCTCGGACGAAAGTAACTTTTCGAACCTGCCAATCTGCTGGAGCAATGCCTGCAACGTTAGACGGTCGGCGCGAGGGAATGGAGAAAAATAATGCCATAACTCGTCGAAACGATCGATTTGAGGAAACTAGGAATCACTCGGTCCGAACGGAATCCCCGCTATTTCCAACGTATCCTACGTTTCAGAGGGAAAAGATTTCGCGGGAGGGTGAAACCACGCGCGCAACGCGAGACATCCGGCGAATAGCCAAAAATCGTTCGAACGTGGATCGATTGCGGCGAATTCGAAGATTGCAGACGTGGAGGATGTGTCCCATCCTCTAGGAATGGAACCGAATGAAAACAAGCGGGGGAGGGACCGTCCCTTTGGAAGGAAGGAACCGTGCTCGAATCATTATCATGCAACCGCGGCGACCCGCCGTGCAGACGCATCCATCTTGGCCAGGAGGATCCTTGGCTAGGAGGAGACGGGAGGAAATCAGTTTTATTGTATCTCTGTGTACTTGCTCACTCGCGTCGCGTATGGATGCAAATTTGCTTCATTAAGGTATCGGGGATACGACGTAGGCCGAATACGTTCAAATGTCGGAGGAGATGCTGGCGAGCCAACGTCGGATATGGTGAAACGCACCAATTAAGACCGAGCCAGGGGCTATCGTGCTTTCATCCGAAACGTAAAAGGAGAGCGTCCGAAACGAGACGATATCTTCCCTCGTTTTTTTGTTTACTTATTTTTTTTAAAATCCGGATTCGACGGATCCCTCCTCCTCTCTTGATCCGATATCCCGATCTTCGGGAACGAAAATATTGAACCTAAAATTGGAACCCGTAGTCGATGAAAACCGTGAATTTTTTAAGAAGATGTTCTAAAAGATTATCTTCCTCCACGTTTTCACGAGTGGATTAAACTTAAACTCCCGGTATGAATATTTTATTCTGGAAACTTAATCTCGATTGGTTTAAAATTGGATTAAAACGTGTGGATTAATTTGGGATTCGTAATCGATGAAAGTTGTACGCTGTAATTTTAATCAACGGCATCTGCAAATGTTTCACTTTTGTATTAAAAGCATAAATTATCATATTGATTATTATATCATTATCGTAGTAGGTCATCGTATATACGGAAATGGGTGATATAGATTTATTATCGTGTCGTCCTCTCAAACATTTTAATTCTTATTCTCCCCATTTGATTATCCCAAACTTCTGGTTGTTATTTCATTTTGTTATTCTTTAAAAAAAAAAAGAAAAAAGATATTAAAAATTCCAAACTCAGTTTTAAATTCAGAAGAATCTAATATTCATTTTCCTCGTGAATTATTCCAATCGAAATTGATATAGTCTGGAAATAAACGAGAAGGGATGCGAAGATCGGTGAATAAACATCGACGGAAATGGAGCACGCCCGATTCGTATCGAGGATTTATTAAAAGGTAATATAGCGCGCTTATAATGGAGCGCATTAATGAAGATGAAGGCTGTTGCTGGAAACGCAAAGAAACAGAGAGGTCGACGGAAGAGGTTTCTGTTTCCCTTTCCCGTCCCGTATGTATTTCATATTTACGTATCCGGATCACGTGTGTTGCGTGCAGAATGCGAAGATCGGGACCGCTAATTCCATCCTTCGAATTCTTCTCTCTCTCTCATCGTTGAAAAACCGTTCGATCGATCTCGATCCGACACAAAAGACGATTAATACGACGTACCTTTCCTCGAACGTGGCTTCCTCGTTCCCGGATACATCATTTGCATTATATTCCTTATTGGACGTTTGTTTTTTGAATTATGCAGATGCAATCCATGGAAATTACCGTGAACGAAGAGTGGAAAAAAAAAAGAAAAAAAAAACGAAAAAGAATCTTAATTTTAAAGTCAAGTAACTATATAACCGATTTTTTTTAATCTAGATCCCATTGATTTGCCTCGAAGAAAATTTTAAAGTGAAATTACGGAGGTAAAGGGCATCCACGAAAATTGTTTTAGACGAGGCGAGCAATTTATATTTACCCTCGGCATCAACTTCATTTAAGTGTAACAGGACCGGTATAGTGCGTTCAACTGGAGAACTAGTAAGCGTTACATACTATGCAATATGTATGTACGATCTAAGTAAGCACGTCTATTTCCTTCGGGGATATTTACGTTATTCCATCATCCGGTATTATTCATTTCGAATAATTTAAATATTATAATTAAATCGATTTACGAAGGAGAGATGATCGAAGAGAGAATGGAATAATAATGTGAAAATAAAACATTTGTAAATTAAGCAAATATTTAACTGTCGAATCTCGTTCACAAACCGAAACGTTCCGTTTTTCGAAAGGAGCTTGCTTTCCCGGTGAAGAGGAATAAATGATCCTTTGAGGTTCAAGGTCAGAGCCTTGTTTCCGTGGAGAAGCAACGTAAATATTTGACGTTGCAAGTTTAAAGTTCAAATGGAGTGCTCGGCAGAAGCTATCCAATCTTTTTAAACCTTGTAAGTTCGATGACAAATCGAGGATTTCACCGGTAATAAAGGTATTCAGATTGTTTGAAGTTTAAAATCTCATCGTAATTTTAAACCCAATTTAATTCATTACCTGTAATAACAGTTCAATCGTTGCCAACTTGCAACGATCGCAACGATCGCAAAAATCTCCATTATCTTCCTCTCAACTTGTATCGGAGAAAAATGCCACGAAAAACTCGGATCGATTGAATTACTTATTTTTTAAAATATACAAAATCGAATCGTTATTTTTTAAGAAAAAAGAGGAATATGAAGTTAGATTTAGCCAAATGAAGATTCGTCGTAGAGGAAAATCCGCGCGAAGAGCGATCGGCTTGGCGCTGTCGGTCGACTTGGTGAAATTCGGAAGTTAACCATCGTCCGAACCGGCGTAAATCTGTAAGCAAATACAAACAAGCTGATTGCCCTCCAAGTCCTTGGTCCATCCCTCACCAGTAATTAAACAGGGCAATCTGCACTTGCTATCCACGACGTCGTCGCATGAACAGCGAGAATGAACCGGGTCCTCGGGGTGGAGAGGCACCTATTGCCCGAGAGAGAACCATCTGTGTGCACTAAGATTATATTTGGTTTGGTCCATGCAAATTCATGAGTTCCTCAACGTTCTGACATTTGGCTAGTTTGAGTTGGATAGACGCAAAGCTATTGTAGCCAACAACTTGAATGGCTATGGAGGATTCGTCGTGAAAATTAACTCGTAATTTATGAAAATCTTTGCGAGGAGAGGGATATCTGACATTGAATGAACAATCGTTGCAAGATTCAAAGCGTCCGTCTTCGAAATAATTTATTTCAAAACACTGTTTGAAATTTATT